TGGTCCTGTGTGTGTCTGTACTCGTGGGGCGGCTGCGCACCTGTGGCAGAGGGCGGAAGCTAAAGAGGGTCAACAGACACTGTCGCCGCCTCGCGGGCACCGGGGTGGAGTTTGCCAGTGCACAAAAGATAGAACACAAGGTGCGTCCCTACAGCTTTGAGGTGAACAAGTTCTTCTCGTACGAGTGCAACGAGTGAACACCACCTTCCATCTGGGCAATGGGGCTGCGACGGTTAAATAACACCTCTCCCTCATACATCTTCTCCCGTACGGCGTCAAAGCTGATTTCGCCAATGTCTTGTGCTGACTGCTGCAGACCCTTGTGGATGTACGCGAGTAGCTTCGTCACGGAACCCTTGTCCAGCACTGTACCAGATACACCTTGCGCCACCTGCACACTCTCATTCTCTGAGAGATAACGTTTCCCGGACTCCTTCCCTTGCGACATTGCCTCCAGACTTCCCATACCACGGTAGCTCTTGAGACGAAGACCGTCCTTAAAGAAGTAGGTTCCCGGTGTCTCGGAGGTACCAGCCAAAATGGAGCCCAGCATGGCGGTGTTTGCGCCAATGGCAAGACACTTGCAAATGTCACCAACATTTCGCAGACCGCCATCTGCCATGCATGGCACCCCACGTGATGCAGCGTAGCGCGACACCTTGTAAACTGCCGTAGCCTGTGGGCGCCCGCATGCAAGGACTTCCTGCGTGATGCAGATGCTGCCGCTTCCCATGCCAATGCGAATGCCATCGGCGCCAGCATCAATAAGATTCTTGGCCTGGTCTTGCGTCACGACATTACCCGCCACCACCTCCAAATGGGGAAATGACTTCTTCACCCATTTTATAAATGACACCTGATAGATGGTGTTGCCCTGCGAGCTGTCCAGCACGAGAACGTCTATGCCGACAGCAGCGAGTGCCTTGACGCGTGCCTTATCCTCCTCCCGTGTGGAGGTCGCAGCGGCACACAGCAGATGTCCATTGCGATCGAGGCTGCTGTTCGGATAGACGCGTGCACGCACCGCATCGCGACGAGAACAGAGGCACATGACCTCCCCTTTGTCATTCAAGACGGGCAAGTATCCGTGTCGGCTGCGGTTTAGCACATCCATCGCCTCCTCTAGACGAATGGGGTACCGCTCCACCGTCATGTTTTCGCGTTTTGTCATGAATTGCGACACCGGCAACGACACATCCTTCACAAAATCAATGTCCTTTGAGCAGACAATACCAAGCAGCTTGCCGTCGTGTCGACCATCCTCTGTCACTAGGATGCCACTGATCCCTTTTTCGGCGTTTATCTCCTGGATGACCGAGATGGGCGTATCCGGGCTCACAGACTTGGGCTTCATGATAAATCCATTGCGAAACTGCTTGACACTGCGCGCCATCTGCGCCTGTCTTTGAACAGTACAGTTATTATGTAGCACGCCGATGCCCCCCATCAACGCCATTGTGCGGGCCATCTCACTCTCCGTTACGGTATCCATCGGAGACGCGACGATGGGAAGATGCAACCGGATTTTCTTTGTGAATTGCCCTGAAACCTGCACATCTGACGCGCCAAAGTCAATGAAGCCCGGAAGGATAATTACGTCGTTGTACGTGAGGCCATCACCCTGAAACAACTCCTCGGCTGTTACGCCGTCCCGGATCTTTTTTGTGCGAAGGTCAACGTTGGGCATTGGTCCCAATGTTGCGTGCCAGAATAGGAACAAGGAAAGAAAAGTGTGTGCCTGCGCGTGTGTGCGCCAATTCTTTCGCGCGGATCAAAGCCAGCACGCTCAAACAATAAACAAAAAAGGGAAAAGACCGCGAAAATCAGGAGAAGCAGAAGAAAAGGTGTAAGCAGTGATCATTCCGCGGTGAGACACAAGGGCCGCCAATGTACTTGCCGCTCGCTCCCTCGTCTTCGGGGAGAGGGAGCGGGAGGAAGAGAGAGGGAGAGAGACGACCCGCTCGTTTCTCCCCCACACGGTTACTAGTTTCCTTTTTTTTTGTTTCGTGTTTTTCTATGCATTACGCGTGTCTTGTTACTTTTCCTTGTTCTTTTTGTTTCATTGCACCGTCGCCAACTCTGTCTTCCCTCTCGTCGTCGTCGTCGTCGTCGTCATCGGTTTGGTGTGACCAAAGAACCGGTTGCAGCGGCACACAGGAAGACCCGGGACTCACCGCAGAAGCGACAGCTTCGTCACAAGCACAACGCGGACGCTCTGGTCAAACGAGGCGCAAACCAGCAGACCCTCCTTCGCGCGGTTCCAATCAAGCGCGTGTATCGGCTGGTCTCCCACCTTCGCCCTGTTGAGCTCCTCAACGCTTCCCGCAACACCCTTTGCCACACCCTCCGGGTCCCGCAGTGCGCGTTCTGGCGGGTACCGGTAGCGGCAGAGCGTCAACTCCCCGCCGCCACCAGACATGAGCACCTCACGGTTCTGCGGCAGCGCGCGGGTGCACCACACGGTGCCATTCGACACCCGCTCCTCCACGTACGCATAGCCTAGCTTTGGATGAAGCGTCCGAAGGTCGTACACGCGGACGCGGCCCTCCAGTGATGAGACAATCAGCTTGTTCATTTTGATATCCGGTCGGTCAAACTCCAAGTCACACACGCCGTTGTTTACATTGAACTCGTGGAGCATCTTCTGCGTGCGCAAGTCAAACAGTTTCACGTCTCCGTTGTCGTAGCCAGCCGCAACGACGCGCTCATCAGGGTCAAAGCTGTTTCCAAGGCGGACAGTCCAACAGTCACGCGCCTGGGCGGGGTTGGCGGGGTTCAGAGCAAGTACTGGCTTATTCGACTGACGCACATCCCACACCTTCACGCAGCCGTCACGCCCACAACTTGCTATCTCGGGTGGGCCAGTGTGCTGTGCACCGTCCACGGCATTGATAATGTTTTCGTGCGCATGTGTCACTTCAAAGATGGGATCGGCGTCGAGCCGTTCAATGTCCCAAAGGTTGAGACCGCCAGCAAAGTCCCCAGTGCAGAGAGTCATGTTCGACTGCCAGTTGGATGCGTTGTGGGCAAAGGTACAACACTTTATGGGCATCCTCGTCTTGACGTCACACTGAGCGCACAGCTCGCCCTTGTTAAGCTGCAGAAGCGATATGGCGCCCTGATTGTTTGGATACTGGCCCACCACCGTAAAGGACGCGCTGTGCGGCACCCACTTCACGTCAAAGGCGGTATAAAGGAGATTTTTCTTTACATGTTCAATGATCTGCTGCCGTGACAGACGCCGCTGCTCCTCGCGCTTCCGTTCCTTTTCTTCCTCCTCCGTCAGGTACGACATACCGGCCGCTAAAAGCACACACTTGTCAGCGAGGGTGAAAGTAGTCAAACAAATTGCGAGGGAATTTGAACCGGCATGAGCACACGACGCCCAAATCTATACTACAATAACGCCGCCGTCGCCGCCGCCGCCGCAGCAGCAGCAGCATCATCACACACGCGAATACAAACGATAACAGCTTTAAAAACATCGTAGCAGAAAAGGAGAGAGGGCATAATGGGGATATAATCGAGTAGGCAATTCATAAACTCCCATAGCCGCTGTGGAACCTCCCAATAAAAGAAAAATTAAAAAGAAATAAGATACAATAAGAAGGGAAAATAAAAACAATTTCGTTTTTGCACACCGCCTTCTCCTGAGTACTCACTTGCGCGCGTCTTTACCGTTCCTCTCACCCGCGCCCCTCCAATGTACCAACGAACCGACCACGCAAGCACACAAGGTTTGGGCCACCTTGAGGGAGTTATTGTTCTCATTTACCGTCACTTTATAATACTGCACCTGCCTCCCCTGCCGCTTTGCAGGCGGTCGCTCCGAGACAAAGCGCTCCGTGTCACCCCGAGACGACAAGCGCATAATTAAAGCATAAGGGTTGTTGGCACAGTCGATAAGAGAAGCTCATTTTTTTTTAAGATACAAAATGCATAAAAACACAATAAACTGGATGCTGGGAGGAAACTGGAGAAAAGGAAAAAAGTGAGGGCAGGGAGAGAAAAAAAAAGGAAAGAACGAAAGAAAGGGGGAAGAGTAAAGGCAGCAACAAACATGTATAAATAAATAATATATATATGTGTGTGTGGTGAATGCAACGCAAAAACAAAAACAAAAAAACACACATTGAAAAAAGTTATGTTCCGATCATTTTAAAATTGTGCCTATTGTTCGTTTTTTTCTGTTTCTTTTTTTTTTGCTCAATTGCTTTTCTCTTCGGGGGTTAAGAGTAGGCGGTTTTTTTGTTTCAACCTACGCCTTCGTACACAAGCCATGTTGCCTTGTCTTTGAGTTTCCTCTTCCTTTTCTTTATGTGGAAAGGAGCGGGCGACCGCCAAGGGCGCATCCCCACGCGGAGAGTTGGGTAAATTGTTACATTCGCAGGGCCGCCCGTAGCCGCTCCTCCCACATTGCCGCCTCTGGCGTCAGGAAGTAGCACCAGTCCGCACCCTCGATCTTCAATGCCACGTGGTTTGGGTCGATGCAGGCCACCTGTTCCACCTGCAGCATCGGAATGCATCCCCGAAAGCCGACTCTCCCCCCTGGTCGAAGCAGCAGCGACAATTGACCGTTCGCAAGCTCCATGTAGCGTTCCTGATAATCCTGCGGCGATTTGTACTTCCACACCGTGCCGGCAAAAACCACGGAGTGGTCCACCTGCAGACTGGGCAGCAGCTGCCCGGAGCTAATGTCATGCAAGACGCGCTGCCGCAACGGCTCGTCTACATCTGAGAATCTTAGCACCTGCGGAAAGTTACGTAACGCGGCGACGAGGAGGGGCTCACGCAGGAGTTGAGTGGTGTCTGGGCGCTCTGCAGACGATTTACGGAGTAGTGCGTACGCAATGCCTTTCAATTCCGCATTGTGCGCGGTTTCTATGGGGGGTGCCTCTTCCGTAAGAACCTTGTGGCGGAGTTCCTCACACTTGGCGCCCTCAAATGGGCGCCTACCGGTCAAGGCCTCGTAGAGTATCACACCAAGCGACCAAATGTCTGCGGCTGCTCCGTAGCGCTCCTTCCGCCACAGTTCTGGCGCAACATAAGCGGGTGTGCCACAAATAGTGAGTCCCACGTCACCGCTGATGGTGTCGTACGTCTTACTCAGGCCAAAGTCTCCTAGTTTCACGAGACCCTTTGTGTGCAAGAGCACATTTGCCGGTTTGAGATCACGATGGAGCATCTTTTTCTTTGTATGAAGGTAGTGAAGAGCCAGAAGAAGCTGCAGCAGAATATAGACAATCTGGTGCTCCTGCAGTGAGCTGCCACCGCGCAAATGATCACGTAAATCGCCGGCGTCGCAGTACTCCATAACGAGAAAAAAGTGCGACTCCGTCTCAAGCTTTTCATGAAGTCTAATGCATGCAAAGTGGTCTATAGACTCCAAACATCGCACTTCTGTACGCATCCGCATCAAAGATGGAGCATGGGAGTGTTTAAGCGAGGTTATCTTCAGCGCGTACAGTGTTCCGTCACTCACCTTCATTACTTTCCACGTCTCTCCAGAGCTGCCATGCGCCAAGTAACGCACATACGTGTATTTGGAGTCGGTAGACCCAGAGCATCCAATAAACCCAGGCACAATGATATGGCCCCTCCCGCTCCTCGTCCCCGCTTCCGGCTGCATCAAGCTAAAAGAACAGAAGCCCAGCGTCGCTTCACGCCGAGACGCAACTCTTTCAATTCGTTTAGACTGCAGGAAGAGTGTCGGAAGCAAAGAAGGCACATGCAAAGAGGCTCGCGGGCAGGCGAACCGCAAAAGAGAAATTCACGAACAATAATGCATGTAACACGACGCGGGATGCGGCGGCTATCGCCACCCATTCCCTGTGCTTCGTATTGCCGACTCCCACCACATCTTGTCGTCAGTTTACATAATCGGCCGCAGAAGATGCAGCTAAAAAGAAAAAAAGAAAAGAAAAAAAAACGTAGAAAAATATCCCCCACGTTTTTGGATCGTCCTCCTCTCGCTCAATTGCTTCCTCGCCTGCTAGAGAGGCGAAGACGAAGAAGGGGGGAAAAAAAAAAGGGGGGGGGAGGGAAAAACTGAAAGGTATTCACTCGCTCGCTCAATTGGTTGCTTTCACGCGGATGCTGAGGCAGAAGGGCGATGCCAGGCACCCACACACATACATGCATACGCGCGCGCGCGTAGGAAACAAAGAAGTAAAAAGAAAAAAAGCACAGAAAAGCCGAAGACCCTCTCAACACCTCCTCTTCCCGTTTCCCGTCCTCTAGTCTCACAATTGCGCGTTCCAAGAAAGAAAAAAGGAAATGTCGAAACGGGCGCATGAGAAAGGAAAAGAAAAAAAAGTTCAGCAAAGGGTGGCGATGGGACACCGACCTGACAGCAACCGTAATCACCAACAGTGAAGAAAGCGGTGGTGGATGCTGTTGTCAAGGGAGGGAGGGGAGGGGGGGGGGGGGAAGGAGGAGCAACGATTGCAGATTATTAAAAAAAAAGGAGGATATACCGTCTCGTGTTGCCTCTTCATGTGTGTACGTAAGCGTCTGCAGCACACCATAAACCAACACAATATAACAACAGGCAGGGAGAAAGAAACCAGAATAAAAAAGGAAAAGAGATATATATATATATATATACAACTGGATTCTCTACAAAAAAAACCACTGATTGAGACATGAACTGCATAAGTATCACTGCTCACTTTTACGATCGCCTGCTACGTTTCTTTCGCCAGCGCAGCCATATCGCGGAGAGCCTTCGCAATGTTCTCCGCAAGCCGCGCCGATGATGTCGTTGCGCAGCTGTGCTTCGACGTGACGGTGAAGTACACCAAATCTTTGCCGTATAGGCAGTAGCACACCCCGTAGCCGTCGTCTTGCACCGGGCCAAAGCCGCCATTGGGCGTTTCAAATAGCTCGCTGTTTGGCGAGTGAAATTTGTCTGGCAGCTGTCGCGGAAGCACCTGCGACGTGCTGAGCTTCCACTTGGACGTCATCGCCGCCTGAAGGAATTCGGACGCCACCCCCAAGCCGGCACTCGCACAATACAATCCAAAAAGGTGGCGATCAATACCGCGGCCTGCAATGGCGTCACGTGATGTCTGCTGGTGACGGTCACAGGCGATACGAAGAAGTTTGAGCCTTTCCTCTGCGCTCACGGCAGCTTGATTCATCGCCTTCACGAAGGCGCAGGACTCCTCGCTGACGCTGCGGATGGTTTCGGTGCGTCCCTTGCGGTACATGCGCAAAGAAGCCGCCTCGTAGGTCTGGTCAAAGCGACCTTGATCACGGAAGTATGCGAGCTGCATTGCCATTTGCATCCATGCGTCAGGGCTGCAGCGCTGCTTCTTCGGCAACTCCTTGCCGTAGTCGGAAAAGCGCAAGACACGGAGGTCAACGTCCCTCACCTCGCAAAGGTACCTCTCTTGCACGGCCTGGACGGTGCGTTTCATCACGGCGTCCGTCGTGAAGCGGATGCGGTTGGGGGCAAACAGTTCAAATTTGCCATCGGCCAACGCCTTTTCATCTTCCGGCAGTTTTTTCACATGTCCATCGTCTGCGTAGAGCTCGCGGATTTCATCCGACGCGTGGCTGTACTCCACCACGTTTGCGAGGGTTAAGGCATCTCCCCATGAGTGTTCCGCATGCACCCCACAGTGACCGTCCTCTGTAACGATGGCGTTGAAGCTTTTATCGCACCAACGATTGTGACCGTTGCCGCACAAGTACATCATGCCTTCCTCTTCAAGGGACTTCGGCTTTGCGTCGTCAAGGCAAAGCACAAAAATGGCCTCCTCAATTAACTGCAGTGGTTTCACATTGTAGGGGTTTTGAATGAAATGCTTGTCGCGAATGTCCGCCCACTCTGCGCGGGGGGCGGTGGTGAAGGCAGGAATAAGCGCCTCCACAGGGTCCATCTCATCCTCTGAATTCAAAATAGACTCTAGCGCCTTCTCCATTTGGTACGGTGTGAGTTGGTGGTTCGTCAGCGGGTGCAAAACCTCCAGTTTGTAGAAGCGACCCTTGTAGATGACCACGATGTGCTTAATTCCCTCGTACTGAAGCAGCACGTCCATCTCGCGCCCTGGAACACGGGTGGTGTTAAAGACGTATCGATACTGGTTCATGTCAAGCGGAACGGGGCCGGTGAACTGTGGTGGGAAAGTGTGCTTGTCGATTCTTTTCTTTACCTTTACAAGGTTGTACACCAACGCCGCCGCACGAGAGGCTTGAAGCGGGGTAGGGACGTACTTGGCAAACGCCACCCCAAACCAGTTGGAGTTAATGCAGAGTCGCTCACGCTGGGCGAGGTACACGTACTTCATCCACCAGTCTGTCATGTAGTTATCTGCGACCAGGTACTTTAGCCACAAGAATCTCTGCAGCCGCGGCCCCTCGTTCTTTAGAAATTCCTCAGACAATCGCTTCAGCTGCTCCCACTCATCCGGTTTCCCCTCGTAGAATGGCACCATCGAGTTCATGAAACGCCGCACCGTGGTTTCGAGAGCTGGCAACGGTTGCGACGGAAGACAGTTCTCGTACGCGCCTGTTTTTTTGATGGTATGCATAAAAAACGTCTTGAGGATGAAACCCCATATCTTCGTCTTGCGGCTCACCCTTGTCCGAGCCTCGTATATCCAGTCGTTGTACTTCAGCACCTGCCGGAGGGCAAAGCGCTGCAGTGCCGTGAAGACCGTCACGACGCCAAAGCCGACATTTGCGCAGAGGGCCGGCATGCGGTATCGCGCGGGAATGCGAGCGGTAATGGGGTTCTTTTCGTCAAAACGCCAGAGAAGCTCTGAGAAACGGTTTGTGCGGATCCATGCGTCGGCAGGTGAATTGAGTACCCATAGGAAGACACCAAAGCTGAACGCGGTCACGACAGACAATGGAATCGGGTAAAGCGCGAAGCGCACTTTGTCAACCCCACGCCAGAAGGAGCGACGAAAGTTCTTCAGAATAAAGTAGGGGTGTGGAATGTAAAGCACAAGGCCACGGTTGTCCACGTACAGCTGCGTTTTTTTAATGCTTGTGTCCACTTCAAAGCCGACGTGGTGCAGGGCCGCTGTGGGCCCCACTGCAAACCTTGCCTCCGCCATCGGTCACCTGGCGTCTGCACACGGATGAGGCAAGGCAAACAAGGTGAGCGCAGACGCACAACTCCAGCGCGGAAGCTTTACCGTCCTCCGAGCAAGAGCAGGGAGTAGGCAAAGACGACGGCAACAGCACAGAAAAAAAGAAGTACGAAAGAAGAAGCGGGTATTGGTTTGAGTGGGGACACAAGCAAAAAAGGAAGGAAGTGGTGAGCAGGCAATATATATATATATATACGCCCTTGCCATGCAATAAAGGCAAGATGAAGGAAAATAATGTCCTCGTCCCAACCAATTCAAAAGGGCTGAGCCCTGTAGATTCATGCCGGAAAATGAAGGAAGTAGGAACAAGTGACAAAAAAAAATCAGTTCTGGTCAAACATTAACAATAATAACAATAACAATAATAATAATAATAATAATAATAATAATAATATTAGCAATAACAATAGGTAGATTGCAAAATAAATAAAAAAAACAGGAAAACAAAGAAGAGTAGTAGTGGGCCCAAGAAAGACTGGAAGAAAAAAAAAACAAAGAAAGAAGAAGGGCTAGGATGCGAACATATTCTTATAAATTGACCGCTGCTTCTTTTCATAGGCCTTTCGTTGCTCTTGCACGTGCTGCAGAAGCACCTTTGCGTCGGGGTTCTGCGCATCGATGGCGAGCAACTGTTCCACGTCCCGCTTGGCCTCATCCCATTCACACAACACGTCCTTTGCCTTGGCGCGGCGATAGAGTGCCTTAGCGTTCTGTGGCTCCACTCCAATGACCTTGTCGCAGTATTCAATGCAATCCTTGAATCTCCGCTTGCTTAGCAGCACCTGCGAGAGGTTGCCCCACAAAACAACACGCGCTTTCCGTGCTGCCTCCTTTTCCTCTTCCTTGTCGTTCAGGCCGCTGTCAGTCTCAACAAATTCCAGCGCACGACGGTACTTCCGCTCGGCCACGTCCAGTTTCCCGGCACGGAAGGCGTCATTCCCCTGTTGCCTCCGCCGCTCACACGCATCAAGACGCTCCTGCCCCTGAAACTTCCACGTTTTTACCGTCTCAAGTTCATGCAGCTCCACCACGTACGTCACTTGTTCACCTGCGGAAATGTTGAATTCCTCACACGGCTCTGAAATCCGGTGGCCAGCGATGCGGAACGCCGCCGCCTCACGCTTGTGCATGGATGAGAGGCACAGTTCAAGGTGCGGCGGCACTGCCACATCACCCAGCACAATTTGCCAGCCGAGGCGCTCGCACAGGAGTTTACCCTCTTTCTGAGGGCCGCAGTAGACGCGGAGGTCGATCTTTACCGTCGACTCGTACCCAGGCTTTTCGTAGTCGACACCTTCCACGGTGACGTTCTTCATGATGGACTTGTCTTTTTCCTCCGAGACGTCCTCCTCGCGCGTCCAGTCAAAAAGTTCCACCTCAAACAACAACGTGGCATTGGCCGGAATCTTCGGTGGACTGCCAGCGGCACCGTAGCCATACTCTGGTGAGCACTTCAATACCGCCTTCTCGCCAATCTGCATTGTGGCCACACCCTTATCCCAGCCCTTGATAACCTGCCCACGGCCCAGGGTAAACTCAAAGTACTCCCCACGGTCACGACTGCTGTCGAACTTTGACCCATCCGCCTCGAGTGTACCGACGTAGTGGACTGTCACCTTTGCACCTTTTACGGGTCGCGTTCCGGTGCCAGCCACAAGGACCGTCTTGAAGAGGCCCCCGTTTGTGCCCGGCACCTCCGTCGCCTCCCCGAGGGGGTACACCACGTCCCGCATGGGCTCACTGTTCACGCTTGACATGCTGTCTTCTGCTGAGCTCATTGAATCCACCACTTCAAACGTTCTTTCACACTTATTGCTGACAATAACAAAGTTCCTGTTGATGGTTAGTGCAAGAGGTGGAGGTGGAAACAAATTCGTGTAAAATATACACCACCACGACCACCGCAGAAACAAAAGGCAGGAAAAGAAGAAGAGGAAAAAAGGTGTATATATATATATATATATATATGTGTGTGTGTGTAGAGGAAGGGTATTCGTTATGCAATCAGAAAAAGGAGTACAACACACAAGTACGCAAGTAGGTAGAGGTATTCCATGTAGTTAACCCACATGTACTGCCTACACTGGAAGCAAAGTGCTGAAGTCTCTGTTCATGTCCTGCTGCTACTTCGCCGCGTATCCCGGCTCCTCCGGTGGGTTCTTTGGCATCCCAAGTGTACCCCAACCGGGAGCATGTCTTGGCACCAACTTGCGATTGCGCTTCAGCCCAAGTGCCTCCTTCAATTCACCCGCCTCCAAAGCCGGACCCTGCAATCGGTAGTAAAAGCGATCTAACGTCGTCGGGTTATCTGCCGTCTCCTGTCTATCGTGCATCTCACTCACTGTCATGGCAAGCCGCTTGCCAAGCACTGCCGCCCCCCGCGATGCTTGCTCCAAGTTCGTCTCCGGTGGATGTGTCCATCGCTCCACGGAGGTTGGGTGGCTTGCACGGAATGGGGAGGGGATGTCAACGTCGCCGCGTGCCGCGTAAAGTTCATGATTGCCCTTGGGCAGATATCCAAGCATAAGTTTGATGTCACGTTGGCGTTGCAGTGAAAGGCCCTCGTCCTTGTCCGCCCACGCCGTGCCCTTTTCTAGCTTTTGTATGTACGCCAATCTCTCCCGGGCGGTTTTTTTGTTATTGAGGTCATCAAAGTAGATCTCCCTCTCGTCCTCGAGGATGCGCTGATCACGCGTCGCATCCAGCTGTGCTTGTGTCGGGTGCGTAACCGTCGTCTTGGGCGACCGCCCCGTCGAAGGAAACAGGTAGCAGTACACCTCGTTGTAGTTAGCTCGCACCATGCCGGCGGTGTGATACGCCTTTAACTGGAGTGCCTGCGTCTTTACTTCGTCGAGGATGGTGCGAAACACCGGAAACCCCTCCTTTGGTGTGCCGAACTTGGTCAGGTTAATGCGTACCACGCGCCGGTGAAGCAGGTGTTTCGCAATACCGATACTTTTGAAGCGGATGGCGTGGGGATGCGTTCCACCACGGAAAGGCACCTCGATGCACTCCTTCGTGGGCGGAGGCTGAACACCAAGCTTCTGCATCTTGAATCGAATCATATCACGCATGTGTTCCCGGTGATCTGCAATGGTACAGAGAGCTATTACACGCCTGTCATTCTTGTCTGTGTGGATTGCCCCCACCCGGATAAGGTCGAGACCCAGTTCACGGGCCATGCGCCGTGCTTGCGATGCAGGAAGGTCCACATCGGTGTCCGCGTCGCCCACAGGAAAGTGCACCTCCGCCTCTCCGTCGCTTGGCAAGATGCTGCGGATGCGCACAAACGGCTCCTGAATCATCTCATTGATGGGATGCGCCTGAAAATACAGCAGCGTCTCCCTGCGAACCCTGTTTGCCGAATAGCCAACCTCGCTGGTGTCCACCACCCCCTCTGCCAACATCTCGTGTGCGTAGCCCTCCGCCGCGTAGTCCGTTATCTGCCGAAGCCGTTCACGATTCTCCGCGTCATCCCAAAACTCAGCACCCCGCAGTTCTAGAAGGTGGTTACCTACAGGCTGCGCTCCGTATGCGTCATGCGGAGGGGAAGAAAAAGACGATGATGACAATGGATAAGAGGAGGAAGCTGCCTGCCCTATCAATTGCGTAGCTGTAGCTGTAGCTGCAGCAAGAGCAGACACGGCACCAACCTCCACTACTGTAACGGGGAAGTGAGGGTTTGCCTCCGGTGGCAACATGTCATCGTCTCCAGCCTCATCTTCATCCTTATGTTGCTGACCACGGCACAAGTTGACGCCCCGAGCAGATGCTCCCGTCTCTGCAGCTGCCCTCCCTGTTGCCATTTGCTGCCGGTACTCCTCTGCAAGAACGTGGTACGATTTCTTACCACGTCTTCCGCCCCCGAATGTCGCGTAGACGTTATCAAAATGCGGAAGTTCCTTACCACGCTGGTGGTAATCACGCATCATGTCACGTTCTAGCCGATCCAGATCACTACCCAGCACGCTGCTTCCCGGTATCACGAGGTCGTTCCCCAGTTCTTCATCGTCTCCCGTTTCCAACAACATCAAACCGCCCTGATTCGCCACTATGGCAGGCGAACGCTCGTTAGCGGCACGTATTGCTGCAGTTCCCGTTTCATCCTCGTTGTGAAGTGCCCGCCACCGCATGTCGCGATGACTGTCTTCCGCAAGTTTCACCTCGCCCTCATCTGTACGGCGCTGCTTGTATATAGCCGCTTCCTGCCCGAGTTGCCGCAGTTGCGACTTGAGACCTTCAGCGGTAAGAGGAGCACGGAGAGGTCGTTTTTTCCCTCGCGTCCCGCGCCCCTTCGTGCTGATGTTAGCCGTGCTGAGGTCTTTCCCTTTGGCGCGCGAGGCCCCAAGCGACGACGGCAACGGCTGTTCAAAGTAGGCACCACCCAATGGGGTGCGGTACACACGCGATTGTCCCGCGCGTTGTATCGACGCGGTGACTGTGGCCCGCCGCATTGGCACCCCGCTCCCCGCTCCCCACTCCTTCCCCTTCCTTGGCTGGTCGCAGCCCCAATAGACACATATACACACGCACAGAACGAGAGAGACAGAGAGAGAAAAAAAAAACGCTTGACAAAACGATGCTGAGAAGGCGATAGGAGTAAGGCGTAGAGAAGTCGTTGTACAGCACGCGACGCAGTTGGTGTGAGGCGTACCACGTTATCGCCGCGAGGGACAGCAGCGAGAGAAGGCGGAAGTTAGAAGAAAGAGAGAGAGAATCGGACAAGACGCTCACACCAAAAGTTCACCCGACAGCAAACCCATCTACCCTGGGAAGTGAGATATTTCGTATATCGGCTTCCCAAGGGGAAAGAAGCGTAATGCGCAGGCCCCCTTAGATTTCCTATCCACGCAAAAGAAAACACACACTCACAAAATTCAATTCTATTCCTGGCTGCTTCAGGAGCCAGCTCAATGAAGACGTCGCAATACATAACATCACACATCTGTCCAAACCGTTTTCTTACTTCCCCGTTCTCCCACAATATGTCGAGTGGAAAGCCAAGTACAGACCGCATCAAACACTCTTTGTATTGTTCAACCAATACACGCTGGCGCAGCTGCAGGAATCGCATCGACAAGAACAGAGTCGTATGCGTATTCCCTTATACTTGTCTGTGTGCGTGCATACGCGTACGTCGAGGACATCGCTCTTTGAATCCCATCTTTGCTCTGTCATTTAAGTTAACCCCCCTCCTGTCCCCAACAACAAAACCTTTTCTTCATGCACATATATCGCTGCCTCGCCCTTGTTCAAATCCGTTATTGCATCATCTACACAGCATTTGAATTATCTTCCTCTTCATTTACAGCCTCGAGGGAAAAAGACTCCACCTTGGCGGATGTGGCTGTCTTGAGGTGCGTGTACCAGAAAACACCAGCCAGCGTCATGATAACACCAAGAAACCTCTTTGTACCCATATCTTCATCAAACAGGATGGTCCCAAGCAGTATAATGATGCAGAGCTTGAAGTGGCCCAAGACATTGTATGTGACCGGCGACGTCTTCCCAATAACAAGAAATATGGAAATATTTACGAGAAATGCGATGACGCCGCTCAACAGAATGATCCTTACGGTATCAAGGCAAGGGGGAATCATGTGCTGAATTTCCGTGAAGTACGCGATGGGCAGCAGAAACAAGGAAGAAAGTGGGGCCTGGTAGAAAAGCAGTTGAAATGAGTCGCAGTCCAACTCCTTTTGTTTTGTCCCAACCCATATCTGGTACTGACATGTCACAAGAAGAGCCGATAAGGCGACCACAGTGCCCACAAAGTTCAATTCGCTGTCCGTCACTGTCGCAACTGCAACACCGACGCAAATCAGTAGAAGCGACAACTTAATTTTCGTGGAGAAGGTCTTCTTGTAGATGAAGGTTTCCATCAAAACAAGAAGCGGTGTCGTTAGAACCTTGATGAGTTGATAGAAACCAACTGAGTTGTACATCAGAGACATGTTCGTTAACATAACAAAACCGCAGAAACTGATACTCAACGGCAACACACGCGCAATACTGACACGCTTAACCTTAAACACGCCCCCAGCCAGGCACAGAACTAGCCCAATGAACGTCATGACGAAGTGGATCAATGTGAGGGTGGTGCTGGCCATAAAGTCGTGGTCCTGAAATATCCATTTGTTGCAGAACACAATTGCGATGCTGCTTAACGCATTGAGCGCCAAACAGAAGGGGATGAACAACTTCTGAGAGGTAGAGTACATTTGCTTCGCCTCTACGGCCAACAAGAGGTACAGCACGAGAAGGCAGCTGGAAAGAAAGAAACAAACGAAAAAAGATGGGACGCACAAAAAAAAAATGTGTTGCAAACAAAAAAAAAACAAGTTGCACAGGAGCAACGCTGGAAATGACAGTTAGATGCCGTGAAGAGAAAGAAGAGCTTCAAAGCCAAACAAACACGCAACTGATGTTCACGGAGCTGGTTTTCCCGCGTTGAAGTGTAAGCGTACAAGTGTCCAGACCGCGGAGACGGGGGCAGCTCCAAGCGATGCAGACGCCAGCCGTCCGCTCCCCCCAGCCAGCCCATCGTCGTCGGTTAAGGAAAACAGAGGTGAGGGGGGCGAGGATACTGCAGTGAGGAAGAAAGGATGAGAGAAAACAATTAGCGCAATCAGAAGTCAAATCACCAGCGATTCGGTCGGTGTTGGTTACCCCTCCCCCTCGCCTACACATCCACCGTCCACTTCCTTCCTACCCTGCTTCTTCCCTTGTGATTTTTTTTAGTGAATATGTATGCACGGAGATGTTTTTTTTTGTTTTGCTTTTTCATCCTTAATGTCTCACTTCCCTCATCGCAATTTTTTCCTTTTTCTTTGTTTCAAGCTCCTCCAGTCCCCTGGTGTTTTTTCTTCTTTTGGTTTCGTTTCCCCTTTTTTTCCTAAGGCTTTTTTTTTCATCTTCTTCTCTCATACGTCGTCCCTCCGCGAAATACCCAGACAAGCACGCACGCAGGCTCCGTCCCACACAACGTAATATTTACACTGACGCCTCGTCCCATTCGCCGCGTTAACGTCGAGGCCTCTCTCCCTCCCTCCCCCAAAACTGTTATGTGTGAAGAAGTAAAACGCTATAAGTGCACATTGTATCAGAAATGATGCGCAACAGGATGGGGTTGGAGACAAATCCGTTTAGCAAAGCCTGTGCAGGCAGGCCCATAAGCGCCGAGAGAGACGGGGATGCGGCAAGGTCGGCGGGGAGAAATACACCCGTCTGTACTGCAAAGGCATCCGTGCCGGCAACACGTGTTTCCCGCGGAGAGAGCGTCACAAGTGAGGGCACGAGGCGCTGTGCCTGCCGCCGGTTGCTGATGTGCAACGCGCGAAACATCGCCGTGGGAATTGGGCGACAGCTGGACACACGACGGCTGAACATGTGCACTTATTGCGCGTCCTTTTTTTTTCCAGCGCGCGCGCTCTCTCTCTCTCTCTCTCCTTGCTTCC